TAAAACGCATACAGTTAATTTTATAATGTGGCTCCAGCCATGTGCTAACTTTATTTGATATTGAAAGTTGATCGGAAGTTAAGTTGTTTTTTGTTTGGCGAGTTTGATCCACATTGATAATTTACCCTTAACCTTTATCTGTGCGCAGCGATTAACGATGCTGATTATACCAGCTCCACCAAGACGCCCAAGAAGGAAAAGAAAGAGAAAGATGTTGAGAAGGACATATTGCCAGCTGGCACCAAGAGGCGCGCGGTGAACACACCGCCACCGCCGCCACCAGCTACGAAGGGACCGGGAAGACCACCAGGCAAGGGCTCAGTCAAACACACGCCTTCAAAGCCAGTCGCACCTTCACCAACGGTGACAAAATCGGCGGCAAAGAAGCCAAAGGAAAAAGAAGAGAAACTTCCCGTGGTGGTCAAGAAAGAGGAGGACGACCTCAAGGGACTGGAGGAGCTGTACTACGGCATAAGCGATGGGATGGACGAATACTTTGAACAATTCCCATACAACTCGCCCAGGGCCAATCCCCATGAACTTACCAAGACAGTGGACTGCCCGATTTGCCTGAGCGAATCCTTTGACTCCAATGAGAAGCTGCAAACGCATTTGGTGTCGCACATCTCGTCCGATGGCAAGCAACATCAGTTCCAGTGCCTGTTCTGCCTGGAGAAACATCCCACGGAGTCGGTGCTGGCCAAGCACAACCAGATCATGCACCCCACCGAGACCAAGACGGAGGGTTCGCCCTCCTACTATTGCCTCATTTGCCAGCAGCGGCATAACTCTCTGCATTTGCTAACGGCCCATCTACAGAGGGTCCACAGCACCCTGGAGCTGCCCTATTGGTGCCAGTCCTGTGGCTACCGCTCGTCGTCCCATCGCGATCTTGTCAGGCATTTCTACGATGACCACAAGAATCAGAACTTCCTGCAGTGCCCTTACTGCTTGGACGTAAGTTCTATTCGTAAATAGCCTGTAAAGAAAAATATTTCATAGCTCTCAATCCTTGCAGATATTTTACTTTTCCATTCGCGGGTCTGTCAGCCAGTTGCGCATCGAGCACTACTTCATGCACTTGAATGATCACGTCAACAAGCGGGATCCATCGTTGCGCTGTCAGAAGTGCTCGCTCAGCTTCCTGGAGAAGGGTGACCTGAAGCAGCATACGGTTCAGCATCATATCAGCATGACCAAGACCAACAGGCCGGTCCGTCTCTTGCTCAACACTTCGCTGCTGATTCCACCACCAAAGGTGCGCACCCATCACAAGGAGCCGGCTCCCTTCTCCACCTACAAGCGACCGATATTCTTTGCTTTTCTCGAGGGCAAGACCTGTGCCGAGTGCAACACCGATTACGCCAGCGAGGAGACACATTACACGTCAGTATTAACCACATTCATTGCATGTATTTTATTTATTTTCAAAGTATGGCTGTACGGGGTCGGTAAAATTGCAAGCGTTCGCAAGTGAAAGCCAAGACAGAGAGTAGCCAGCCGAAGCCCAGGACACACCAACCAAGTCGCAATGTGTCCACATCTAGGGCTTGGAATCCGAGGACATTGTCCAGCAGACGCACATAGCCAGCCCGCATAGCATCGTTGAAGTCGGAGACAAGCCAGTGCTGCAGAAGACCCGTGCCCTGAATCCTCATAATGAACATGCTGAGAGATGACTCCAGGTGGCAGTCGCTGCGCATCGGATAGCCTATAATGGGCGAGCCCAGACAAGCGGAGGAGAATCGAAAGATCGGCTTGAAGGCGTACTGCTGCTGCATGGCGATAAAATCCCAGCGCTCCGTGGTGAAGGGATACGCGTAGCTGCGATTGAAGCTGAGCAGGGCCGAGACCTGTTCACTGGCATTAACGCCCACTATCAGGCGGGCCACTCTACTGACGAGACGCGGATGTACATGACGCAGAACTGTTTCGACCTCATACTCCTTGACTAAAACCTTCTGCTGTTGTTCAATAAGCTGCTCCCATGAGTTCACTTGCTCGCCCACCACCAATGCGGTGAGGAAGCTATCCAACTGAAGGTTGTACCAGTTGGACAATACAAATCCCAAGATGGTCAGCTGCAGGAAAACTATGAAGTATCTCAGAGAAGGACTGTCTATCCTTGCAGGCGAAGAGATATACAGTACACGGCTGACGGCTTCCAGGAAGCTCAACCCAACACGATGTTGCCAGGTCCTCCTGCCCATGTCGGGACGAACCCAGAAAACCACGCTACTAATGTAGAACACTCCACCAAGCAGTAGCAGCCAGCTTGATTGGTTGAGGGGCAGCAGTAGATACATGTGGCGGGGAATCTCGTTCCGTACCGGAACAATCAAACAGTTTTGTGTGACCATCAACGGATAGCTTCTGTCCCCAAAATCACTGGGGGATCTGATGTACGGATGCGCTGAAATTTCCAAGTGTCCTTTCATTATAAGCTGCGCAATTCGTCCCATATTGACACTGCTCGTGGGGCCAAGATACTCGTGAGGATTAGTAATCTGCAGAGTGGCATTGTGGCGGTGCAAGTACTCCACAAAGGTGCGATAGGCGTAGCCTCGTATATGTCTCCGTCCTGTGTGGGGATCATGCACCACAAACACTCGCGGAATATCATTCTCCACTGGAGTGGACACAACATAGCCCTGGAAGTTGCTTGTAGTTGCTGGAAAGAGCGGAATCGAAGTGAGATTGATCTGAAAGAAGCGCACTGCCGGATAGGGAGTATAGGAATAGATTCGATCCTTATGCAGCACCAAAACGTTTAGAAACTGCTGGTGCCAGAGCTTCTGGAATATGGCGTGTATCGCCTTGTACGAGCCACTTCGTTTTGAGCGCAAGACGACAATCAAGCGAACGCGACGCATCCTTTGCAGACTTTTGTTCAGAGCATTCCAAATGAGATCCAGGCGGCTGTGGCAGAAGAGCAAGCTAATGGCATTGTCCGCGTTCATGTTATATTGACCAAGGGGTCTCTGCTTTCGAGCTGGCGTAGACAAATCCACCGTGTGACTACTGACTGCCATGGTTCGATGGAGCCAGGTTATCAGACTGTTGATATCATCCAGTTTTGTTCTGTGTCCCACGAAGATAGGCGTATTACTCCAGTGTTCCCGGGTGGCGATGACGCTTAGAACAGACCTCACTAAGGTCATGTTGTGACTGCCGTGGATCAACGCTGGCTGTGACCAGCTGAAGAGCAGCAATAATAACAGCCCGTTGCTCATTATGGTTGACTACATTGTGGCTTAAGGGCGCACCTGCGACGTCCTTATAAGGCCGTAAATAATTGTTTTAATTGAATCTAATCAGGCTTTATTACTGATAGAAATCAGAGTAATAACAGGTGAATTAGAGGATTTCTTCCTAGGGGCTGAAAGGAGTCTATTTGTAATGTTATGTAGCCTGAAATTAAATGGCTCCCCTTCTTTCGTTACAGCGGGTGGCTGCACTGCGTGAAGTGCAATTATCAGACATGTTGCGAGCGGGCCCAGTTCCGGCACGGCGTGAACTGCAATGGAAACTTCGTGGATGCCATGGAGGTCAATCTGCCCCAGGAGATGCATTGCATCTGCGGCTTCGCCACCAGCAATGGCAACAAGATGGCGCAGCATTTGGCCAACTGTGGCCTGAGCACCTGCTACCCCAGTCTCGAGGCGGCAAATGAGAACGCCGTGAAGCGCAACATGCTGGACATGTTGGGTTTGGTTCGACGCGATGGGGACACGTCTGGCGAGGGTGCCGACATAAGTGAGACTGCGGACGATGCCACTGATGATCACGGCGAAATGCTGCAGGCCCCAAGAGAACAACACCTGCAGCAGCAGCAGCAGGAACTAATGGAGGTCCAACAGACAGAGCCGGAGCCTCAGACAGAGCTTCAACAGAACTACTTGTCGGCATCTGTGGACCCCGAACCAGTGCCAGTCCTACCCGTGCAGCAGAGCTTGCCGGCTCCCATTCAGTTCGGTGAAATGGAGGCGGCCCCGGTCCTGATTGACCCCCAGCATCAGGTAGCGGCACCCAGCGACTACGCTCAAGTGTCCGTGGTGCAGCAGCACCAGCAGCAGCAGTCGTATGGACTCGGTAACTATGGCCAAGGCGGCATATCCACCGACATTGATATGCCGCTTATTGGGGAGCTGTCCGAGCCCAATGCTCCACCCACGCCCCAGTTCTTGGGCGAAGTGCACACGCCCATGTTCGATGCAGTGGCCGCCGCCGAGCAGCAGCACTACCACGCCCAGCACCATCATCATCCGCAATGATATAGGCCACCCGGCAAGCTAAAATCACGCGACTACACAATACATTGGCAGAATTACTAGACACACGATTTGCTTTTAAAAATCGTATTTTGACTTTTTTATCATAAAAACAGTTAAGATATTCAAAAATGAATCCCTTTAGTATCCTCTCGTATAATATCGCGAAGAATGAAGTACATAGACACCCAGTTGAGACATTTTAGGGTAGGGCTTTAAGTTTGTTAGCATCTAATTTTGCATCTTTGTGCAGTAAAAATATACTTACATACAGGAAATAATCTCAGTTGCTTGAAGGAAACGTAACCACTCCTCTGCAATTCGATCTATCCTGAATAATTGAAATAGCTTAACCTTGGCCTACAGTCTGGATATAAGAAAAATAATCATTTGTTAATTAAACAAAGAAATCGAACTTTCAATAAAAGTATATCACGCTATCCTTAGAATGTGCCTTTCCATTGTGTTGGACAATTTACGAATTAAGTTGTTAAAATAATCCCGTTAATGAGCTGCCGGTTTTTATACTTTTATTCCCGTTTGGTAATTATTTTAAGTGGTGCAATCAAGTAACCGAATGCCAGGTGAACTGCCGCTGCCAAGTAAAAGAATAAATGACGATATGACCTTTAGAAAAAAGGACACAAGATTGAATAGAAGTTCGGGGTTCTTCAAAAGTGAAATTTCTAATGCAACACATATCGAGGTTATATGTAGTAAGATTATTTCTTAGATAGAACGCCCTGTGTTCAGCTGTAAGTGCTCGAATATGAATACCAATAAGGACAGCAGCCAACCGCCTCCGAGGACAAACCAGCCAAGCCGCAAAGTGTCCACATCTAGGGCTTGGAATCCGAGGACATTGTCCAACAGGCGCACATAGCCAGCCCGCATCGCATCGTTAAAGTCGGACACAAACCAGTGCTGCAGAAGCCCTGTGGCCTGAATCCTCATAATGAACATGCTGAGAGATGACTCCAGGTGGCAGTCGCTGCGCATCGGATAGCCTATAATGGGCGATCCCAGACAAGCCGAGGAGAATCGAAAGATCGGCTTGAAGGCATATTGCTGTTGCAGGGAAAAGAACTCCCAGCGCTCCAGGGTGAAGGGATACGCGTAGCTGCGATTGAAGCTGAGCAGGGCCGAGACCTGTTCACTGGAATTAACGCCCACCAACAGGCTGGCCACTTCATTGATGAGTTGGGGTTCTACGTGGCGTAGGAGAGTGCTAGCTTCGTAGTGCTTCACCAAAACCTGTTGTTGCTGCTCGATCAGGTCCTCCATGCTCTCCACTTGCTTACCCACCACCAATGCGGTGAGGAAGCTGTCCAACTGAATGTTGTACCAGCTGGTCAGAACAAACCCCAAGATCGTCAGCTGCACCGTGACTAGGAAGTAGCGAACAGACGGCCTTTGCACACTTGTGGGGGAAGAGATAAAAAGTATCCGGCTGAGACCATCCAGAAAGTTCAAGCCAACGCGTTGATGCCAGGCGCTATTTTCGTGCCCGGGATTAATCCAGTAAAGTACGGCGCTGATGTAGAACACTCCCCCAAGAAGAAGCAACCAACTCCAGCGGTTGAGGGGCAGCAGTAGGTACATGTGACGCGGAATCTCGTTCCTCACGGGGACAATCAGACAATTCCTGGCGACGACCAGGGGATAGCTGTAGTCGCCCATCTCTTCCGGTACATCCACATACGGATGCATGGAGATCTCCAATTGACCCTCCATTATCAGCTGGATTATGCGGCTCATATTGACATTACTTGTTGGGCCGAAATCCTGGTTCGGATTGGTCACCTGCAGTGTGGCATTATGGCGATTCAAGTACTCAATAAAGGTCCGAAAGCCGTAGCCTCGTATCAGTCGTTTTCCTGTGCGCTGGTCACGGAAAAGAAACACACGCGGAATATCGTTCTCCGCTGGGGTGGACACAACATAGCCCTTGAAGTTCCTCGCTGCCGGGGGAAACAGCGGGTACGAATGAATATCCACGTTGTAGAAGCGCACAGCCGGATAAGGAGTATAGGAGTAGATCTGCTCGTTGTGCAAGACCAAAACATTGAGAAACTGGTAGTGCCAGAGCTTTTTGAATACGGACAGCAATGCTTTGTAGGAACCACTTCGTTGGTTGGGCAAGGCCACAATCAATCGAACAGGACGCATCCTACGAAGACTCCTGTTTAGATTGTACCAAATCAGTTCCTGGTTGCTGTGGCAGAAGAACAGACTGACGGCGTTGTCCGCGTTCATGTTGTAATGGCCAAATGGTTTAGTCTTGCGCGCCGAAATGGATGCATCCACCGTGTGACTTGTGACTTCCATGGCTCGATGCAGCCAAGTTATCAGACTGTTGATATCATCCCGTTTTGTCCTGTGTCCCACGAAGATTGGCGTATTTTTCCAGTTCTCTCGTCTAGCGATGACGCTCATAACGGACCTCAGCAAACTCATGTTGTGGACGCCTTCGACAGGCTCCAGCCGGGAGGAAGTGCAGAGCAGGAGCAGAAGTATCAGCACTGTGCACATAGCGGGCTGGGACTGTTGTGATTTCTTGCAGCACAGAGGTCAGGCTTTTAAGGCAGCGAATAATTGGTTTCATTAAATATAATCAGCCTTGATGAGTCTTATCAGTGATGAACATAGTGTGGATAATTCACTTGCTTCGAATTGGTCTCAACGCGGTAGAGGGTGGCCTCATATAATTGGGAACGTAATGTGCGCGGGGCAAGCTCTTAATCATTCGTGGTCCTACAGGTATACATTTTATTAAGATATACACTTTACATTTTCAGGTGATGATTGAAATATTGCACATCGGAGATAGACGAAACAGTTAAAACATTACTAGAAACAGAGACACACGGCTTTAGGGCTTGGTTAAAAAACTAGGACTAATAAATTTAGACGGTTGGAATACTTTTACGCATGAATAGATTTGTGGAATTCTAGAATTGAGCCGATATCATTTCTGGCGCTGGCGCTGCTTTGATTGAAGCAGAGCGGAAAGCACTAGGGCCGTGTCCAACTCTTGCTGACTGCCTCGCTCATTGTCCAGAGAAATCTCGACGGCGCGCTCATGGAAACGAGCCAGGACACGAGGCCGATAGTCTACAGAGAAAATAAAATTCAAATAGGAAAGAAAAAAGAAGAAAATCAACACGCGAACTCACCCACACTGCCCGCCAGGGGATTGCCAGTGAGTCTAAGGGACTCCAGCAGTGGAAGATTAGCCACATAATCAACCTCTTCGAGATCTTCAATCTGATTGCAGCTCAGGTCTAGATTGACCAATGAAAGCAGCTTGCGCAGGCCTTTCAAAGACTTGAGCTTATTTTGAGCCAGCTCCAGTGTGACGAGATTTCCCATTGTCAGATGCCAGTCCACGCACTCGGCTATAAGATTTCCGGACAGAGAGAGCAGCTGTAGATGGGGAAGTTCGTCCAGGTTTTGTACAACCCGGATGCGATTCTGCTCAAGCACCAGACGACGCAGTTTTGGTGCTGTCCTCACACTGCCATCGATTTGGGTGAGCAGATTGCCAGTCAGATCCAGGTCAGTTAGCTCCTGCCACGCATCTGTGCTGATGAGGATACTGCCGTTTGTTGCGGAGGGTGGCCGGATGGCCTCAGGCAGGAGGCTCGGAACATCGCAGTACTTGTGCAAGTTATCGCAGAGCAGCACCTGGCATATGTTTTGTATAGTCGTGTTGTGAACACAGATTGTTTGTAACGTTGGCTTCAGGAGCTCAATGTCCACGATGTTCTCCGTGGACAGGGCCGAGAATTTGAGGGTTTTGAGATTTCGAAATGCATTCAGATTGAAGTTTAGCCTGTTCGGAATGATATTGCTTCGCCCAATGGGTACGTCCACTGTGTTGTAGTCCTGCGCATAGCTGGCATTATCCTTCACTGGCGTCACTACCAATGCCACGAGTTGTGTGCAGAAGTCCAGGACGTGCGAGAAATCGTATTTTCCGTCACGATCCACGTTCGGCGGGCAGGGAAGACTCAGACGCTCGCTAATGGCAAAGACCTGTGCATAAGGTAGATGATTCCATAAATAATATATGTAAATAGTATCTCAGCTACATTTCTTAGTATTAATCGCAATTTATATGTGTATATTACGCTGCCTTTGCAACTGAGTCCACAGATATCTGAGGATAAATTTCCCGCTCTTCTTTTGCAATGAACTTAGACATCAGCTTATAGAGTAATGCGATTCCCAGAAGCTTCCTCTGCGTTGGTGTATATTTGTTCTTAGCCGGACCGAAAAAAACACCCACTCGTCGATTTGTCAAATGGTTCATGCCCAGGGCATTAATCATGGAGGCCTCGCGGGTTTGCGCATCCGCGGAGGATATGCCGCGAAAGCCACGAATCAGCACGATGCCGCGTTTCTGCTCCCAAATGGACAAAATTAACGCTAGTTTCGGATCCTTGGCCTGCTTGATGCTGTCAGGTGTGCCAAGAAGTTTCTCGGCTTGCAGAAAGTGGACAAATGGACGGATGCCCTTGCCCTTGCCTACATAGAAAATAGCACTTAGGAAAGTGAACCAGACATCAATGCAGTGCATTCCTGGGGCCCGATTCGCAAGCTTGTTTGTTACGCGGGGATCCAGCAACAAATAGTTGAAATATTGCAGATCTGAATTCCCCTGTCCGCGATGCCATTTAATGTGGTGGGCGGCATACTTTGAGAGTTTTTTGATGCTCTGGTAATTGTTCTCCGACTGCAGGGTCTGTTCCAGCTCAGGAGAGAAGTTTGTGTAGCGCCTATTTGCGATAGTGCCAAGGGAGTACTTGGCACCTCGAAAGTGGATAAAGTTACTGCCTAGTTTTTGCAGCTGCAAAGGCCAGCATGTGACTATAGAAGTTAACAAAAATTTCGACATTTCAATAAATAAATATTACTAGTATATACTGTGTTCGATTTAAAGTGTGAATTATATCTGAAACATGAGCCTACATATATACATACATATATATGTTGCAGGGATAGAAAAGTGAGATTTTTCTCACCTCCAATGCCGACAGGTTGTATTCCTTTTTGGAACTGAGAAGCGCATCGCCGCTCTCGTCGAATAACTTGGCAAGATCCTGCAGCAAATAGATAATGTCGTATTTGTTGAAATCCAGGAATTCAGCCAGAGCCCGCGGTAGTTCCGTGCGAAAATAGATGAGCAGCTCCTGCAAGTAGGCTTCCAGTTGTTCCCGACGCTGCTCCAGAAACGCTGGCTGCTTATTACCCACAAGCTGCGACCGAGATCAACATGAATAGATATACGAGTATGTTTTGTTTTAAGGGGCGTACCTTTTTTGGGGGCAACAACTTTTTGCTGATTGCTATATCCTCCACCAGCTTATCATGGAGCTGGGCAAAGTCTCGATAGCGCCGCTCCACCATCCATTCCACCTTTGCCACCCGCACTTTGATGTCATAGTAGGTGACCCCGCCGCTGGAGGTTTCATTCGTGTATTTCGGTATTGTCACCGTCGTCTCCTCGTTCTGGCGGTAATAGCAAGCCATCGCTGTCCTTTCCCTTCCCTCACAGATGTTTGACGCATTAAACAAGTATTTCTAGGCTAAACATGAATTTAAACGGGGCTGAAAAGCAATTTTCTAATTTATTGCAATTGTAGTTAATTAATTGCACAGCTGTTTACTGTTATCGTTTAGAGATGAGCGATAGCTAATCACAAGGAAGTCACTGTCACTGCGGCATTAAATTGATAGTCACGACTTACACTTAAGACTGGGCTTTGACAATTATTAAATGAACATGTCCATAAATGTAATGAATCATTGTAGTTCGTAGTACTAGCGATGTTCACAGCTGCCAACCGAAGTTGCTACTCTTCACCGCCTATCGATATATTCCTATCGGTGGCACCTTTTGTTTATGTTTTTACTTGTTGGCATTTGTTCTAAGAGCGAAATTAATCCAACGAAGCAATGCCACTGGCTGGGCCACCTGAGAAATAACTATTATATCTGAGCTGAAAGGAGACGAGGGCTAAAAATGGCATTCCTGGGCGACTGTGTGATTGTATTTGTGTCGCAGGCAAGTGGTGGGAGATCTCATGTTGATGCCAACTATTGAAATTTCAATTGTTTTTATTTGCAGATGCTGTTTTTTGCCGGAGGATGGATGTTTTTCAACAAGGAACTCTTCAAGCACTATGAAATTCGCCACATATCCGTTCAGCTGATCTTCTCATCCACCTTCGCCTTGTCGGTGACCATGTTTGAGTTGATTATATTCGAGATCATCGGCGTTCTAGAGTCGAGTTCCCGGTACTTCCATTGGCGCTTGGGTCTCACGTTGCTACTGTTTATGGTGACGGCTGTGATACCGATCTATATCTGCCACTCTGTGATACACAGCATTTCCTTTTGTAAGTTGTCAGCATACCCTCCAATATATACTCGCTCCAAATCGCTGAATCTTCCTTAGTTTCCGACAAATTGGTGAGAATATTGACGACAATCTGCTGGTTTGTCTTTCTCTATGGCCTCTGGCGTATTGGTGAACCATTTCCTCTGCTTAGTGCATCCCACGGCATATTTACCATTGAGCAGGGCGTTTCCCGGATCAGTGTCATTGGTGTCACTGTAATGGCCATACTGTCTGGATTTGGTGCCGTGAACTATCCTTACACCAGCATGACCTACTTTATCAAGTAATGTTAACTGCTCTAAAACGTTTCTTATCATTGTGATGTACATTTTATTTAACTTGTTTAACAGGCCCGTTTCCCGTAATGACATCATCTGTTTCGAACGTCGATTGGCTTTGACGGTGGATATGCTGACGGGCAAGAAGCGACGCATTGCTATGGCTGCCTATAACCATAATAAACAGCATAGCACAAAGCCCAGAATCTGGGAGATGATAACGTCGGCAGTGCACCGCACAAACAGCGGCGAAGGTGGTAACGCATTGACCATCAATCTGCGTTTAAATTAATTTCGTTGGTGATTTCCAGACATCAACCAACTAAAGCAAGAAGTCTACGGCTTGGAGGAGCTACTGCGCTCCGTCTTCCTGGAGTTGAATTCACTGAAAAATATGGAAGAGCGTCAGCGTTGGTCGGAAACGCTGAAGGGAAAGTACTTTAATGTGATTGGACACTTTTTCAGTGTCTACTGCGTCTATAAGATATTTATGGTAGGTCAACAAAAACATAGTTTAACATTTATATCGAAGTCTTTATTTACGTTTTTCCTGAATAGTGTTGCATCAATATCATATTCGACAGAGTGGGTCGCAAGGATCCCGTCACCCGTGGCCTGGAGATAGCCATCCATTGGTGCGGCTTTGACATAGACTTTGCCTTTTGGAACCAGCACATTTCGTTTTGGCTGGTTGGCTGCATCGTGATCACCTCCATACGTGGCCTTTTGCTAACCCTCACTAAGGTAGGTGATAAAAGCTTAAGACTGTTTTTTTTGGCTCTAACTTTTTCTGTTTTGCAGTTCTTTTATCGCATTTCATCGAGTAAGTCGAGCAACATCATCGTACTGATCCTCGGGCAGATCATGGGCATGTATTTCTGCTCCTCGGTGCTGCTGATGCGCATGAATATGCCAGCCGAGTATCGGGTGATCATCACCGAGGTTCTCGGCAATCTACACTTTAACTTCTATCATCGTTGGTTCGATGTCATATTCCTGGTCAGCGCCCTGACTACCACCGTTGTGTTATATCTGTCTCGGAAGCCAGTTCCTTCGGATGACGCCGACTTGCACTGAGAGAGGAGAGACAGATAGTCTCTCTATTAGGTTAAGGAGAATTGTCTTAGAATAATTTAGTATAACTACGGCAATCTGAAAGTTGTTTAAATCAATGTATATACCAGTGTATACCAATGTATATATTTAATGAACTTTTATGTAACTATCTAACTTCACAATCAATGCACAAAAATCAAAGTTAAGTATATCTGTTTGAGAAAATTAAGTATCGAGTTGTTTCTCTTTATAAAACCATTTTGAGACGCTATGTCTGGGTTTAATTCTGTATTATCTGTATAGTACCGATTTCCCAGTATTTTTGAAGCTTTTCTAAGCTTTGGAGGCTTTCATTTCCAGCTTTGCTTTCTAGGTCTCTGGGTTGCTGGGTTACGACGTGACATAAGGTTGTTGACTCAACATTGAGAGAGTCCAGTCCGCGCACCAACTTTGAGCGCATTTCAAATTACTGTTACGCTCCAATCCCACTGTTCCCAGGATCTTAACATAGTGCTCTATTGTTCCTTGAGGCAAGGCGAATAGAATTGTCTTGTTGGGTAATTGTGGTGGGGTGTGGGCTGTGCTATGGAAGTATTGGGGTAGCTGAAAGGATAGGGCGGATAGAAACTTGACTGGACATTGCCAATGCTGTTCAAATATGAAATTCAATTAAAGAATATGAATATGTAAGACTGTAAGAAGCAATTCCTTTGAGATATCCGCTTCTCTTTACTCCGAATTTCTCATCTCTCCCAAACATTTCATTTCATTTCAATTTCTGTGAATTTGCACGCACCTGGGGCTCATCTTGAAAGAAAACATTCCAACCATATACATGCAGTTTCATAGGCGTCTACAGGCAAGCACTTCTGGTGTAGGAAACACTTCCATAAAAAAGCCCTTTCAATTAAAGGTGGACGACGTTTCCCAAAAAAAACAGAAGCACATCAGCCATTGAATTTGCAACTGTTCCCGCTCCCAAGCCGATGGCCCAGCACAACCCACTCAGATGAGGAGCAACTTAATGGGCTATTCCGGGACCGCACATCGCTGGCTAAAAATGCCATTAAAATGTTGCGGCTGCCGCAGATCCAACTGGGCGGAAAAAATACATTTCGAGTGTCTAGATGAATAAATCATGAAACAAAAATGATTGAGGGGTTCTCATGACGGGTTCCTCACGCCCTCACGGGTACACGCCCACGTTGATAGAGTCAGTCGATGTCTCCCAGAGCTGCAATCATGTCGTTGCAGGACATGAGTAGAATGTCGAGGAATCAATCAGCTCTAAATTCGATGGGTTTTATTTACAGAAAAACGGCTATGCTCGGCACCTATCTATCCATCGATTTCATCGATTTTTGATTGATAATGTGTTTGGCCGTGTTTCCCCAGTTGGCTGCCCGCGCTGTCTCGGGGCTGGCTTCATGGCCATTATGCAAATGTGGCCAACAATTGATTAGAATTTTAGTGTGCCATTGCACATACGCCCCGTCCCGTATGCTTCGGCTCCCATAATTAACGCTGTATGCCCCAGTCACGGTTGGCTAATTAGCATAAATTCAATTAGGTTTCTTGTTTGCGCCTTCGGTTGTCTCTGGAGCCTTGGAAGCCGCAGTCCACCCTTCACTCTCCTTCCCACCTCCACTTTAGGGCACATTTGCGCTTCTGGCGGCTCTCGCCTCCACGTAGGGCGTGGCCATACTTAGCATATTTCCTGTTTGACATCTGACCTTTTGTTGTGCATTCACGGAATGTGTGAGCGTCAGATTCGCGCGCTGCCAAAGGTACTGCCACAGGAACGATTTGTGGCTGTGCCGGTTATCTGTCTCCGGCTCTGGCCTCGGGACAAGGGAAAGGCATTTGCATAAGCAGGGAGGCGTTTCTTCAGATTGCCGACGAATCCGTGACAAGTTATGCAATAGGTCCTCTCGTAGGTTTTACATATGTACGTTCCCATGGGAGATAAGTGTGATACGGATAATACTACTTGGGGGACTGGTTACCAGGCGGATGAATTGATTCTGAAGTGAAGCCAACAACTGCCTTAATGGCCATCGTTAGCCATTCGTTAACCTTTAGCTTTCGCTTCAGCCTCATTAAACCTCATCTACGGTGGTCGTCGGAGAGGCTCTACCTAGCAACCAACCAACTAATTAGGTTCCATCTCCACTTCGGGCTCTGCCCACGTCCTGCGTTGCTCATTAGTGGAGGACTCCATATAATTAAAGCCCGGCCAGGAGCAAAGTGCAGCAACAATCAAGGAATCAAGCCATCAAGGAATTCTGCAATTATTACATTGATTACCAGATGAATGCCATAAATGGCCGATACAGACCCGTAGGACCCTGGCCAATACACCGAGGTGGTGAAGCTACATACAGAAATGTTCAGTTCATTAGCCGAGCGCCAGCACTGGCAGCATTTTCCAGGATTACCTGGCCATTCCACTTTAAACTTTAAGCGGAATATTAAATATCTCAATACAGATTTGCAATCAAATTATTTGGTATATCAAATATTTAAATGGCCCGCAGTGCTCCCTCGGCAAAGGGAACTGATGGCCAGTCAATGGAAGTTGGCCAGCGAACAGGGGGATCGATGGGGTATTTTTAAACAGAAAACACTCGTAAATGCTACGATAATGTGCAGGGTTCCCTGCCAGAGTGCATCCGTCCGAAATTGCTATAATTTTTTCAGCTCCACAGCACAGCCACAGACACAGACACCCTGTTTTGGTAGAGTAATATATTTTTTGTTGCCTTAGCCCTGATGTCGGTATAGTCTATTTATTCCCAACTGGACCCAGCTGTGTGCAATCATCGTTTGATGCTGCTGATGGAGTGGCTGTGGTAGGAGGAACAACCTGGGCTCAGGGAAGAACTTAATTATTTTGCGTCCTTCAATATACTGTAAGCCGTCCGATGTGATTGTGGGCCGAGTAAGTATGTACATCTGTCACATTTGGTATATGGATGGAAGTACAGAGGTGTGTTAAGCTTACTTTTATGCGTCCAAGGCCGCCTTGACCACCTGACAGGACAAGGCGGTAAGCTTTCTCAAGCTATCGAACATACACCCCGAGCCATTCGCTGCAAGTGCCGCAGGCCGCAGCCCGCCGCTCCTCGCTCTCCATCTGTGCCCCCACACTCTTTTACTGGGCCAAGATTATTGCTCCATTTTGCGCCCCAATGACTTTCCCTTCCACTAACGGCAAAGTTTAACCCGCCTGTGTGGAGGGAGGATGAGAGGTGAGAGACTCATAAAAGTGTCATAAATGTTGATAAGACATGTTTGTCAAACCTCCTCGATTGCCCCGTGCACCTGCTCGTGCTGAGGGGAAGAAATGATGTGCCAGGTTGTTTGTCTGGCAGATATGCTATAGATTACTTTATTACCCCTACAGCAAGTCATCTATATGTTGCATACACAGTACTTGTACTTGTATGTCTGTCGATTTATTAGCATAGCAATTTGTGCGCCAGCCTAAGAGCAAAGGACATTTCTTTCGAATAAATGGCATTTTCCAGCAGCTTTCAGCAACTGTGTGGAGTCATCTCTCATCCGGCCAACAATGGCGGCCACTTCTCCAGTCCTCCGTCAGTGCAGAGGCCGCAACCCATGCAATCAGCACTCTAACTGGCCATTTGCTGGATGCCAGCCGGGCCGGGCATCGCCTCTAACACTGCCAATGATGGCCTCAATCAGAGCTGTCATAAACAGCGACAATGTCGCCCGACAGTCCCCATGGCTATCGCATGGATCCAGTCGTCCATTGAGAGAGAGAGACAGACGGAGATGCAAAAGAGTGAGCGAATGAGAGCAATAGAGAGGGAGAAAGGAGTGACAGTTCCATCGGTTGATTCTTGTGTTTCTTTGTGGAACCATCAAGTGCCATTAATATGGAAATTATGCAAATCTAATTGACTTTTGCCGAGGCACACAAACACCCATTGTAGTGTGTTGTTGTTGTTGTTGTTGTTTTACCCATCGCGAAGGTGTTGATATGCGATTATGATAGCAATTATGTTTCGTGATGGAGATGTGAGAGAAACTTAAAGACGCTGAATAGTGGAATTAAATAGAGTGTGAAATCCATAATGGAAGCCTTATTAAGCTTATGGAAGCTATAATCGTAAGATCCATGAATATTGGAGTTGCTCCACGCTGGCTTTTTCTCTTCCTTGACGTGTAAACCTACTGAAAAGAATCTTATATCAAACACAAATATTTTCCTCTATTTTTTAAAATTATTCTTGAAATGCCGCATTATCAATGTTGGTGTTAGGGCTGCTCTGGTCCTATGCCTATCTGTGGGTAACGCTGGAGAGTTCTTGGAACTATAGCCAAACGATTCTGCTGCTATATAGATCCCAGACTTCGATCTGAAAAATGAAATGTGAACGTCTCCTTTCTCTTGTACTGGCCAATTTCAGCTACATCAGTATTCACACATGGTCTACTGTGAAGATTCGTGATGCAGAACCCAAAGCGGGCATCGTAAACTATTTTAAATTGGGCGAACAGTTTGGTATATGTATGTATTTCTGTGCACTTGACCCCAGATCTATTTGAAGTTTAATTTGTGCAGTTATGTATTCGGCTCTTAAGCAGGGAATTTTCCCAATAAAGTTAGCCTCAAAGTTTCGTTCGCTTTAGCGGCGGACAAAGTTTGTGGAGCGCATATCATACATATGTACGCCCCCGAGTTTGACGCACGAGGTTTTTTTTTTGTAGGAATTTTTAACTGTGTCGACATTATGGCAAGTGACGAAGGACAAACGGTGGAAGGAGGGGTGTGGGGAAGTTGTGCTAGAAAGTGTCCTACTTTGTAGTTGGACACATAAATTATATAATCAAATTTCGAAGTTATTATTCAGGGTCTTTCGCAGCTCGTTTTGCAATACAAATATCCTTTCTGCTATGGCCCTTTCCCTCCAATCAAATAAGACCCCCACTCATTACCATAGCCAGGCCATGAATGTCAGTATAAATGTATACAAATGCAGATAAATCTGGGCAAAGCCCCCAGGCGAATTACGCATACGCATCGTGAGCTGTTCTGCTCTGTGGGAGTTTAATCGTGAAACATTCGCCTGTCCCCATTGGCTGGTACTCCTGGCTGATATCATGCTATGTGGCTACACTTTCGGTCTCAGTTTATGTTGCTTCCACTCAGAGCTGCCGCAGGTGTTGGGCTGCCACATTTTTCATCTTCCTCCTCGCTTGGGATTGCGCTCTGGAGCGTTGCGACCTCCCAGTTACAGAGTATGTGACGATTGCCTGGGAGCTGAGGCGCCACAATGGTGCTGGGCACAAAGCCTTGACTAATCAATACGTTGCGGCATTCGGGGGACAAATGGGCCAACGGCTCACTAGCTATGAAACTTTCTCAGCTGATTGTGGTATTGATTTTGATTATCGTCCACAGCGGCACAGGTCGGAGACAGTGTCCGATGGGCAAGCAGTGGAATAGGATGGCCATGAAGTGTGAAAAGTACTACTTGGGCTCTTAGTCGGACCCGTTATCCCCCATCTTATCGCACATAATGAGCCTAATGAGTTCATTTAGCTCTGCCGCATTAATAACTACAAAAAAAGGTGGGTCGAGACTATTAAATCTAACGGCAACTAATTTTTGGGCTAAGCTTCGCAAGCCCCCAGAACATAAAAATAATTTATAACATTTTCGGGAATAAAAGGATTCAGAAGGAAGCAACAAAAATACAGAGATGAAAAATTAAATGCCATTTTGTTGGTTTTTCTTTTATTTTCTTGTCGAACAAAGCGTTTCTCCGGACAAAGGTCTTCAGAAATCTGTCAGCACTCCGCTTTGGCTAGTCCCTGCTTGAATCCTTTGTCAATTTGCGGAAAGTGATCAATATGCTGCTGAATTTATCCTGAAATGGCCCTCAATTTGCACCTCAATCAAAACTTTTATTAAGTTCCAGACACCACCAAAAATGAAGTGGGAAAAGGGTTATAGCCTCGACTCTCGATTATTTTTACCAATGACAGTTGGTATTCCCATTGGAATACTGATTTCTGAATGGTTATTATTCGTAAGCCTGGAAAAAAGTCATGTGAAATATTCCGTGAATCCATACCAGGGGATTCCGCAGAAATATTGCCACATTTTGTTGCATTGATGCATTCAGGCAGCACGAAAAACACATAAATACAAATATATCGGAAGCTGCAACAAAATATAAACAAGATATGCTGTCCAAATATCCGCAGGCCCACCCCACCCGCCAGCCGTGTGCTCCGTAAATCCAGAATGGCCATCGATTTTTTGTTCGGGGCCGCTTTAGTTTTATTATTATTATCTGAAAATTTCCGCCTGTCGCATACAAATTGAATAATCGGGTGGCAAATTCCAGGTTCCGCCACGCTCTACACTCGTTCTGGTTTGAGTGAGTGTAATTATAGACCGCTAGACAGCTGGACAGCTGGACAGGTGGACAGGTGGACAGCTTGACAGGATGGAGCTGCCCGGCGCAGCGCAGAGGACATTCTCGTGTGTGTGGTCACAGCCATATGACGTGTTTTGCGCCTCTACGTCTATGGCCGGGATCTATGGTCCACATAATAACTTAAATTACATTTATTTAGAGGTGGGCGGAGATGCTAAAGGGTCAGGCTATGATTAGGCCATTCAACACGATGACGGGCCTGACCATAGGGAACTTGTTTAGCTATTCATAAACATACACCAGATGGTATGCAGAGGAAGAGTACTCGTAGTATACATATATTTTTGAGTAGTATATGTCCTATTTTTAAAATTCTCGGTGAAGCATCGTCCACTTCGCAAGGGTAAAATATTTTAAGATGTTTAACTTTTCACTGGATCAAGAGATAAGAAAGAGATAAAACCATATCCCCCCAGGACGTAGCTGCCGGGCGGTGCCAATAATGAACCACCGCAATCAATGGGGGAGGACAGGACCAAAATGATGGTAAACAACTTGTTTACGGGCTGCAATTGCAGCCACCCAAACTGTGGGCAAAACGTCATGTCCTGGCAGTTGGCCAACAAATTAAACCTACACTCACCCTGTCAGCCAGGTTGGCCAGTCCTGCCATTCAGTCCAGGCTGCTGCTCAAGTGAGACCAGCTCAAGAAAAAGGCAATCAAGATGGGGGAAATTCTGTGAATAATATAGAAAATTCATTCGAAACTATAGCAACCAGATGGTTCAACTTAACATTTCTCAGTAAGACTAAACTCCATATAATACCCAGGATATCTAATCAATGTGGAGCTGGAGCGGAAGGAATGGACTGACAGTGGCAGCAAGAGTATCTAATTTGAATGCTTTCCGAGTGCCGAGTGCCGAGCGCCCTGCATCCTGCTCTATTGCTCCATCCATATTTTGCGGTTGGGATCCGCACAAAAGGTGTGAACATTAGCAGCTGACGCAGATGCCGGAGACGTAGCCGAAGCCAGAGCCGGAATGGTGGCTCGGCTCTTTTGATGTGATGCTGTTGCTTACTTGGCACGGATTCATGTGCCTTCCGTTGCAGCCCCACCCGCTGTGGCCTGTCTGCCGTTGCTGCTCCCGCGCGAAAGTGGTCTCAGAAATTGAAAGTTGAGGGAGAGGAAGACTGGCAATTGCCGCTGCAAATGTGCGATAACCGTACACGTGCGCCACCACAGATGCAGCGGGAAAAGCATTGGCAGTGTGCGTTGACTGAATCGAATTGTCAGTCGATTTTCCCTTGAGAAGAACATTTTAGGAGCTAAAAGGCTGCCAGTGCCATCGATCGCTGAAAGTGCTATAAAAATGGATGTCTGGCCTTTAGTTACCCGTTGGAAGGGTTCCCCTTCTCGGGCTGCAAATATATATGGGGATCCCATCAAATTGTAAATTGCAATCTGCCATCAAAAAGCTGCAAATTTGTTGCCCACTCGCAGGTCTTACATGGCACTTCATGCTCTCACGAATGCTCCATTACGAAATGGCCCCGTCGTTCTTGTTGCTTCTGCACTTACACAGCGCTTTGTTTTGCATGCCTCATAAATTGCGCATACGCCATGTCGCACAGAGAGGCCACAGAACAGGGCCTGGAGTAGGACTAGGAGCAGAGGCCACAGCAAGAGCCAGCGTTGAGCATAGATATCAGCACAGACGGCACCACGCATAAATTCAACGGCTGAAATATTCGTGAACCGTGAAGCGACACATAAAACAAGTCACAAAAAACAGTCAGCCGAATGCTCCGAGCACTTTAGACGGTTCTCGCGCTTCCAGAGGATTGGGATACCAAATTGACATGTACCATGCAATGGAAAGCAAATTGCTCTGGTAACCTGCCGCCGGGTGTGTATCTGTGGGTGCACCTCCCCGTCTATCCGCCCGGTCCTCGTTTCGGTGGCAAGTTTAATTTGGAAGTAACACCTTCACTTGGCCCATTCTGGTGGTGCACTCTCCGCGGATTTAAGCGAAATTTCGTTTCACAATTTTGCACATCACTTGGGGGGAGAGAGCTCGTTCTCGCTTTACTATATACTATATGTGATTGCTTGAGAACTTAAATATTTGTTGGCTTTGACTCTGCCTGTAAACATTGGCGCCAGGGATAATGCTGTGAAAGTCCTTTCGCCACTGCTCTGACGTCTCAAGTGCTTGCCTTTGCCCGGGACTTACCTCCACTAGAAGCCGTACACAGGCCCATCTAGGTCAAGCATTGTAAGAGTCGGCCTTACCATCATCATCATCATCATCACTATCATTATCATCATCATCCTCATCTTAGTCCTCGTCGTCACCGCCATCGCAGTCCTCGTCATTGTCATGAAAATTTCTTGTGCTAAAACTGTCAGTGAAGTTCATGTCAGCCGTCAGCCGTCAGCACAGTGGTCTGGGCCCTGCTTAAAGTGTGGCCCGAAACTCTGACCGAGTGTGCTTCTGCAGTTGACCTTGTCATGGCTGATGCCCCGCCTAACTACATTAGGCACGCCGCAATATTCAGTAAATGGATACATTAATATTTTGCCCAGAAATTGCGCAGGAATTTCCCTATTCTTAAACCACAACCAGTTCCCTTTAAAATTCCCTCTAAAACGTCCTTGACGACTGACAGTTGCAGTGGTAATGGCAACCACAGCAGCAGAGCAGGAAGCCACTGCAGTGCTGGAGGAGCACTCGAGCTCTTGAGGTGGCAACAAAAAATCGTTAAATGGTGGCCATGTGCGGCGAGGTCTGGAGGATGCTTGAGGACTAATGCCACACTGGCCAGGCTATGATAATGATGGTGGTAAGCTGTTGAGCAGATCAGCTTTTGTGCCTTAGCCTCTGCCTTTGCCAGCGCCTTTGCTCCCGAAAAGATCAACTCAATAGAATAGGTTTATTTTATTACTTTTATTGTATTTACTTTATTACTCAATTAAAATTTAGTTGGGACACATTTGGTTTTTGGTTTTTGGTTTTTGTTGGTTTTTGTTGGTTTTTCATCTTGTATAATAGGTATGCTGTCATTTGTATCTGTTTAATCCTGTTTTCTCCTTCAGTTATCCACAAATATGTATCTGCCTTACCCATTTGCTGGCTTAGATGCCTGTAGATGCTGGTTTTCATATGCAATTTAATTGAATTTGACGTTGATCTCTAATATACTCGTAATTTCAATTCTCTCCGTTAGTTTACATTAATTAATTTGAATTTTAAACATTTATGTAGTGGCTTAGGCTCCCGGTTCCGGGCTGTAGCTTAAAAGTTTACCAATTCAACTTGCTCTAATACTTGTATTTGGTTTGTATAGTTATATAAGTATATGTGGTTCAGTTTCCCCGCTGTCTTTTTTGGGGCTTCCCTTTCGGCTATATGTGTTTTCTTCTCTAGTTAAGTAGACAAATTGGTAATACCCTTGGTAGAAAAACGAAAATTGTGCCACCAGATTAGTTATCGCCTTTCGATTTGCTTTGGTTTATCCATCCATCAGTTTCCATACATACTCGTATATATATGTATATATATAGAGAGCCCAGAGGCTGAAAAATTGTTGTGTGTTGACGTTTCGTAGCTGCTTCCTGTTGCTCGGATACCCCTAATGTGAAACAACAACATCGAGTTTCATCGGTTATAATTCATGTTCTTCGTGTTTATGTTTATGTTTTTATATATCTTCATGTAGGTACAATTAAATTTCTTTGACTTTTGGCTTTGGCCAGACAAAACGGAAAAATGTTTTCCCAAAAATTTGTTCAGCATTTTCCTTGCATTTGTCGATTTGTCTACAATAAATGTTTATTTTATGGAACATCGTGCCTTTAATTACCATTACCATTTTTGTTATTGTAACATTTAGTATTACTTTGCAAATTTAACTTGTTTTCTTTAAACGTTTTTAGTTTTTAGTTAGCTTTAGTTAAGGTTTAGTTACTGTTTTGGGATTGCTTTGGTAGATCCTAAGTTCGAAAACCGAAATTAAATTTAATTAAATATTAATTAACTCAGTTTTTCCGATTAATTGAGAAACATTCAACTAGCAAGAAAAGCCCGAAAATCAAACAATGCTCCCTTCAGCTCTTTAAAGCTAAGCAAAATCATCCTTATGGTAGCTAATATGTATTGTATAGTTATTATGAGATTTTCTTTGGTTTTCCATTTAGTTAAACGTACATTCACTTAAAAGATTACAACTGTGTGCCCTCGTCTCGATCGGCCTTTTGCACATTTACAATTTACCAATTTTTTGTTGTTTTTTCTTGTTTTTTTTTTAATTTGTATTTTTCTATATTTTTTCAGTGACTTGCATTCCTTTAAGCCATGACCAACAAAATTCAAATCGTGATTCCCTTATTCGGGCTGGGTGTCCCTGCGTGTCTTGTGGCCGCGGAACGAGGCCTGGATCTTGGTGGCGGCCTTGTTCAACTCCGGATCGGTCAGATCTATGTCCAATTCCTCGGCCACCTTCTTGGTTATCTCCTGGATGTCCTCGTCCTCGGGCGCGTCCTTGTTGACCAGCTTGCGTGCCAAATGGCCACGGAATGTGGACTGAATCTTCAGTGCTGCATGGCAGAGCTCTAGGAGAAGGAAAAAAGAATGAAAGAGAGTGGCTGTTAAGAGTGTTGCAACTGCTGTTGAGTGGCCACAAAAACACACACAAATTTGGGCTAAACTATATACAAAAGTTGTAAGAAACTTGTCGAGGGTTCCTTGGCCAATTGCAACTTGAGATGATACTCCAACAAATGCCTCAATTTGTTGTAAACTATTTTCAATTAGCCTGCGAGTGTGTCCGACAAATGTTGTTTTGGCTTCCACATGTTCCTATATAATTAAGTGTAATAGTTCAGCGTATCCCAGCACTGCAATTATTATTATTTCCAGCTCCTCCTCCTCCCCCTCCTACTGCCCCTCCTTGGGATATCCTACAGCCTTGATTGTGTTTTCATTCGTTTCATTCGGCCCACAATGGCAATAAATCTTCTACGACTCCCCGAGCGCTTGTATAAAAGCAAAATAATGGAAATCACACGCGGAATTATTCCCCAGACTCTCTTCAGAGTGTTCGGTATTCGTTGTATGCCGATTCCTGTCCGCAATTCATGTTCCGTTTCCCCATGGCCTGTCGGGCCACGTCGCCTGGCTAATCAAGTTACGTCTACGCAGCACTGGACGCGATGGGACGCATACTTCCTGCATATTTAATCTGCCCCGAGTGCAGAAGTGCAGAAGGGCAGAAAGGCAGAAGGGAACAGACCACAGAATTAAGCTCCATTTGAAACACTCACAGCTCCTGCATTCCGGCGCATGTGGCTGTGGCCGAGTCACGCGTGACACCTACGTCCTACGTGGCCGAGAGTTCTTGGCTCTAATAAGTTTACTTTTTCAGGATTGATGGTCAATGTAATTACTGGGTAATTGTCTAAAAGTTCTCTGTGCATACGGTTACGTGTATCCCCGGCTGAAGGGATAGAATTTTTGCAGTGCTCCGTTACGAAATTACATCATCTCAGCTGCCATTTTGCATTACTCTCAGTTTTCCCCCCATTGCTTTTGTGCAGTTATGCAAATGTTGGGGAAATTCTCTTTTTAAAAATTCGTTTTTGATTACATTTGCCTTGGCCTTGTTGAGATTTCGCTCAGCTCTAAAGCAACAAGACTGCATACAGATATATATATATATATATATATATATATAACATATACATATATACATACTTAACATGGCTAATTTACCCAGCTAAATTGCGCGTTTCCCTGCGGGCAGAGGTAACCTACTTCACCTCCCTGCTACTTCCACTTCCATTCGCAGTCCACTTCCTTCCCCTGGCAAATATTGTCTGAGAGACGGTCTGCGTTAATTCGTTAAGCATAATTGGAGTTTAGCCAAGTAAAGCATTTGGCAGGGGCATAGCTGGAGCTCAGAGGCAGCCGGGACTTATGGCGTGTGCTGCTCCTTTATCAAATTACGGACACACGGCGTATACGCAACGTGCCTCAGGCCCCCAGCACGTGCTGATGTACGCTGCCGCTGCATTTGTGTATGTTTATTTATAAAATATTTAAAAATACCTGCAAGACGTGCGAATTGCCCCGTAATTCTAGGGATATGCTGTGCCACATGTGGGTCAGTGGAAGCCACCTGCCTTATCGTGGCTGTTGCCACTCGTCCTTGTCTGGCACTAATCAGCCTGACTCTAGGTGTTTACCGTCGTTCTCGCAACGAAATTCGTCTCAATTTCTCTGAAAGTTTTTCCATGTCCACACTTTTGGGCGTTTCTGTTCAAAAACTTTTGCGATTTTGCAACGAAAACGTTTTCCGTGGCACCCTGCTCGGATTTAAGAGATTTTCTGCTGTCGACGGTCATGTAGCCCATGTCGCAAGCCGCTCACGTACACTGCGTGTCCTGTCACAGGACCGCCCAAAGACCCAAAATCCAAGGGAATAGTGTCTAAAAACCTGGCATCAGTCATCAGGCAGAGCAACATGCATGCCCTGATCTCCCAACTTTCTTTTGCTTTCTGTTTTGCTGCGCTGCCTGTTCGAGGCACACAAATTGAGTTTGCTTTTCTTTCTCGGCAAAATGTCACAGTGACTGTTGCACCTGCACATTTTAATATCGGTACGAGGCAGGCGGAGATACCCTAGTTGCTGTTGCTGTTCCTGTTTTTGCACGCTGATTTGCATGTTTCGAGCCTCGGGACATCGGTCACGTCGCCCTGATTGACTGACTATGGGACTGTGGACTTTGGGTTCCGTCACGCTAGCAGCCTCGAGGTCTTTTTGCAGTTTGTTTAATTGGCCTTCGGTTTTACGGCACTCCCAACGCCTCCATCAATGGGCAAGACCTTTGTGCCTCCAGCCATTAAGCTCCTTTGCAGCCTCCACTCAATGCCGCAGAATACCCAAAGGACCTGCCCCGAATGAAATCAATCATGAGCCGCCTTTGCTGCACTTTTCACCTGTCCTTCGTGGCCCCCTTTGTATATGGCGATTATTGGTTGAACGAGTGTGTGTGTGTGTGTGTGTGTGTGTGTGTCCCACAACAGCAGCCACAACACACGTGTTGCCACTTCGCGCCTGTATCTGGTCTCACTGTGGTCTTGACCCAGATTCGCATTACAATGCAAAATTTATATGAAAAAGAATGCAGGGCTATGAAATATGACAGTGTCGTACGTGTGTAGGGAGGGGAGGCTTGAGGACCATTAGCGAAAGTACAAATCTCTGACGTTTGTTAAGCAATTGTGTCGGAAACAATATGTGCACAAGAAGTGGCCCAGACACGCACATACTCGTGCTGGTAATGAGCGAATGTTCAAAAACTAGACAGCCACGGAAGCTGAGCAATTGTTAAATGCCCTACAAAAAGGATGTCAACTTGTGGGTGTCCAACTTTGTAATGAGTGATAAGACTGAGCTGGGATTAGGCCCAACAAGTTGTAATACTTTAAGTACTAAGAATATCTGATCCAACACCTGGCGGAGGGTGCTCAGGCCTGCCCTCAGGGTCCCCTGCTCGTCCTTGGGAGGCAACTTTAGCAATTCCGTTGCTGAGTCCTTGTCATAAATCTACATTTTAATAATCACTTTGCTACCCTGTCTCCTGTCCCCTGCCCAACATCTGGCAGCTGCGACTCTATTTTGAGTCTTACAAAATGGCCGACTCGACAGAATAGAAGGTTTTCTGTGTTTTCGTGTAGGTGAGTTTCCTATTTTTTTCGACGTTTACCAAATGACGACAAATTGTGACAAATGAACCACGATAATAAGCTCGTAAATGGAATTTTTAAGCAAAAGTTCTTCGCTGCCAGAACGGAGATAGAAATGGTTGCGGCTGCCAAGATTTTGCCATTCCATTTCGGCCTTATGCGTTTGCTTCTTGCTGGTCTGGTGACCCAACCGGCCACAAGAACTAAGCCCATTTTTCAATTTCCGCCAGAACAAACTCTTGCGGTTTTCGTTTCAGTTCAGTTCAGGCTTGGTCGTTTCCTCCATTGCAAATTGCTTGTTATTGGAGAAAATAAATCGTCCTGAAAGACAAACAGTTTATAGGCAAACAGTAATTGCGTGTCCCTTGGAAATATCCCTCCCATTGGTTTAGCCATAAATGTGGTTTCCCCATTAGGCCCTGAGGAAAACATGCAGAGATTTTGCTCCCCAGCTCCCCAGAGAAGAGTGGTACGGAGGTGCTTTCCCGGGAATTCAAACAAGACTTTAATTAATATTAATCCCTCGCAGAAAAAGCTGCTTATGGCTTATTATAAAATATGGCTGGCTAGGCTCTGCCTCACTGCGAAACTTATTAAAAGTTAGCTCGGCTTCCGGCTAATCCCAGCCCATAATTAACTAGATTAAAGGCTTGAATTAATTATGAGATATTGAGTCATGAATTATTATTAATCGTATTGGGCAAGTGTTTGCCGACAATTTTCAGTTACGCACTTAATTTGTTGACTGTTTTCGGGCCCAGCCAGCGAGGCATAAGCCATTTAAATTAAACACCACTGCACTCGGGGACACCTTTTCGTAGCTGTTCGAGAGGGGAAATTCTCTATATTATTTAGTCGAATTTCCCAGTCAAATGGCAATTAAATATTTATCGAGGGAACCTTCCTCGAGCCACGATAAACACGTCGACCAGCGGACAGCAGGCCAGTGGGGGAATTCCATGAAAAGGTGCTAAAATTGTTGAAATATTTAAACAAAACCAACTTGGCCTAAACACTGGAAAGCAGCCAAAACAAAATGCATGCCATGTCCAGGTCTGCCCGATCCCCTGCACCCCTGCAGACACCCCGTGACCAGCGCACATTATCCGTACATTAGAGGTCCGACTCGGTGTCTGTCCCAGTCCCCGTCCCAGTCCCAGTCCGAGTCCCATTCACCGTGCACATTCTGTTGTCTGTTTTATTGGGTTGGCATTTACCTTCGGTGTTGTCTACTCTGTGGGGCATGCCACCTCCATCTGTGGGTGTGTGTTAGCGTGGAAAGACACAAAAAATCGCCAATTCAGCGGCCGAGCAATGTTTTTCAGCCTGCCTGGTGCGTGCGTGTCTCATGTCAATGTCGTTCTCTTCCTTTATTTCACTTTTTTTTTTTCTTCTGTCGCATGCTTTTTAGATCCGCCTTTTTGTTCGTGGCCAACCGGGAGGCAGCCAACAAAAACAACAGCACTTAACATTTTACTTAAATGGCTTGCCCCACCGCTGCTATTGCCACTGCCACTGCCCCTGCCCCTGCTACTGGTGGTGCTGCTGCTGCTTCTGTGTTTTGTGGGCCTCCTGGCGGTGTAAATGGAATTACAAGCTTGCTTAAAACCGAAAATCCAATTAGGAGAGCTGCTGTGCTGTGCTGTGCTGTGCCGCTGTTTTATCGCAGTTGTTGCTGCCGAGATGTTCCTGTCCGCTGACAACATCTGCTGGAACGAGGGGTCTTCTATAGCTGTCGCTCGGTTGGTAGTTCCTTATTTAACGTTAACATGGTGGCCACAAGTCCCCCGCTTCCTACATATTTTCCTTTATAATTTCTATGTTTAAACGCTAGTCATTCCCCGCAAAGGGAAATTCACATAACTCTATTTCGACTCCATTCTGGTGTACATCTCTTTCGGCATCACTTAGTCCATATCAAAAGTCGATCCATATCGGTTTCGCTATTGCACAATCATAATGTATCATTGTCGAATGGCAACCAAACCCCGCCCAATTATCGCAAACAACCGCCCGAATGTAGTTCGAATTACCATAGCGCACTCGCACTCACAGGCAATTGTTGGTTTTGGCATTGATCGGGGGTTCTGGGAGAGGGGCGGGGCAGGGCGGGGGGTTGTGGCATCGCCATAAACTATAATTAGTGAGGGTATGAATGAGGCCAGCCCTGGCCATGCCACAGACCCCCCGAAACAAATCGCCAGACAAACAACTCGACCCAAAAGACATTAGAGCAAATGCGTAAGCCCATGTTTATGTCGGTCAATGGGGGCTCATGTGTTTGTGTTAGTTAGCCTTGTGCATTTGTGAATCGGTTGCACAGAGCCAAAGCAACTCCAAAGGAATACCAAGAGCCGGTAAGCCAAGACCTGGCGAAGCCGCAAGCTTTATGCCAAAATGCGAAATGCATACACAAGAAACCATCCTCAAATGGCTTTCGATTTTTGTCCTTTTTTGGGGACATTTGCTTGAGTGTGTGTGTGTGTGTGTCTGTGTGCACTCCAATTTGCATATAAAATGGCCAAAATCGTTGTTTTGGTTTTGGTTAGAAATGGCTTTAGTTGTGGCTAAGGCCATATGCGGGCTTCCTTGTTTGGCTTTTCAGTATGTACATTTTTTTTCCTTTCTGAGGCTCCGCACGAAAGTACGTTCATTGTGCTGGCCGTGGCGTGGCTCCCTGTTGTTGCTGCTAATATTGCTTTAAAGTCCAGCCGAATGGGCCAGAAGTTTACAACTAGGCCAACGCCATTAGCCTGTCGTTGGAGCGCGATGGCTGTGAATAATGATGAAGTTCTAACTGGATCCGATGGGCGTGCTTTGAAAGAGTTAAATGTTCGCGTGAAGTGAGCGAAGTGGATTAAATTATGGACTAGGACAAAACGTACAGGCCTAGACGTTAAGGCCAACTGGAACGCATCTTGGTAGAGCCCCAAGCCTCCAAGATCCTTCCACCTATAATTAAGTGTGGGCTCAGTGGCAAAGGCGAGTGCGTCTCTCTGCGCGGCTCCTCTTCTTTGAGATCTCGTGCGCGCCTAATTAGCCGTCTCATACACATCTGCATATGAATGGCTTAAGAGGGGGTTACGCCTCCAGAGACACGCCCAGCCCTATAATTAAGCCTACAAAGAGAGTGAGAGAGATCCAGGGAGGAGCCGTGGATGTGTCACACACGTGAGCTTGGGCTGGAAACTGTCGTCTAACAGCTACTGACGCTGTCCTCTTTGGTTATGCGCCTCGGTGACAGTTTCCTCCAAGTTTTTAATGAGGCTGAGGAGGCTTTACATTTCTCCTTCTCCCATGCCCGCGACTTGATTGTGCCCCAGGCAAATTATGGCTAAAAACTGTCAGCGGCTGCAACGTCTTAATAGGGTTTCAAGATTTTATATTATTTAGGAGCGTCGTGGATCCGTGGAGTTGCCGTTTGAATACCCCAAGGGCGAGTGGGTGGAGGCACAAAAGTTTGGGCCTAGGCTGCGCCGGCAAAGGCTGAAACTTGGGCTTGTTTTTGGCAAGTGACAAACACTTTGGTTGCCTCACACTTGAAAATAAATTGCACAACACGAAAAGTTTGCGTTTCCGTGGAGTGGAGCCCTGCTGCTTTGTCCTCTGGGGGAATCCTCTGGGGCACAGAGATGGGGAGCTGTAAAGCAGATTTCCTGGATATTCTCCAGAGCTGGGATCTCCTGGAACATTCCGCCACATGGGCGCTGGGTGGGGGTGGGGCGGGGGGTTCAACCTGGCACTTACCTTTGTCGTTCGGATCAAACTCAGCCTCGAGCTCTGCCTTGGTCTGTTCTGCCGAGGAGCCGGCTGCCTCCTCGACTCCTGCAGCACTTGCGGCGGCCCCATTGTTGGTCACAGTTTTGGTTTCCGATTTTTTCATGGTTTCTCTCACTTTGTGGCCTCGAAAGACGGCTTGAATTTTTGTTGCGGCTTTTGCTGTAATCAAAAGTGGAGAGCAGAGACAAAAGAAAAAGATAGAAGATAGAAAGAAGTTCATTAATTGGGTTGAAAGTGCAGAAAAGTTTCCCTCTTAATGGAAACTCAATATGGAACTAAGGGACTTCGATCACTTCTATAAAATGGTCAGAAAATCAATAAAAATGAGCTCCGTTCCGGCCAAGTTCTCCAACTTTTTCTCTGGCAGCTCTCATAATTAACTTCAAAGGAATTCTCCAGCCACCCAGCCCCCGGGGCTGTTCAATCGATTCCGACCCGAGCTGAAGGAATGCTCAGAATTTCTGGCCCCCTGCCATGTGACTCCAAGGAAAATGGAAAAAGGGAAAGTTCTCTTGGGCTAATAAAGTTCAGGCGCAAGTTTCGTAAGGCCGAAGGATAAGAAGGATAAAGAATCGCAAAGAAACGGCGGAAACGGACGAAGGCTATGTGCAATAAACAGAGATATATCGACCATGTTTCTACGAGCATTCCTGGGTCAGCATTCATTTTTTATGGCATTTTTCACGCAGATACCAAGCAAGCAAAAAAAATTCTGCCGTCCTTGAATAAGTTATAATAAATTGACACGTGAGGCTTTTGGTACGGGCATTCCTGCCAAACACTATCAATAAGGAAAAGGCAACGGCAACGGCAAAAGCGAAACCGAAACCGAAACAGAGGCCATTTCTAAAAAAAAAAAATGGTTGTTTGTGCCTGGCACAGGGCTGCCTCACCGGAAAGGGGTCTGGGGCAGGGGCAGGTTGTGGCAAGGTTGGCGCTGTCAAGTGGCGAGTGCTATGCTTTTAATAGCTGCCCACAGCGGCTGAAGCTGCTCTCCGGCACTTCCCATTAAATCATCGCTTATCCCCTGCTATCGAGTGAGAGCTGAACGGCATGGAGCGAAATTCTCGCCACGCTTTAAGGATTGTTTCTCAAATTTAAGTGCTTTAGGCATCGGAACTGTAATCAAATTATCTCATTTGTAATGCAACACTTTTTCCATGAATAAAAATCCAATATATTCCGGGCTACAAGCAGCTGCTGTTTGTATGTTTTTTGATTGACAAAAAAATAGGAAAATTTTACACCAAATTGAGTTTATTTATCCCACATCTGTTCCGTATGCAGGCATTTGTTCAGGCCGGTTTTTCAGCAAAAACAATATAGCATTATAGCATAAATGGAAATGTGTTTTTATGGCCTACATTCGGAAAATCCTGAAAAAGCTGCTCCCATATTCAATCATTTAAAGAAAAAAATATAAAAACAGAGGCCACCAGACAGGCTCTTTTGAGAGGTGCTTTTTGAACTATAATACGGGTATATGCGTGTTTCCAATTAGCATTCGTTTTATGTCTGCAGAGCCATCAAAATAGCTTCGAATAGCCGGGAAAACTAATGAACATAAACCACTGTCATCCTCTAATTAGAAACTAAAAACGGAAAATGAAAATTTATACGTGCCGTCTGGCGGTGGGGCCTAATGGCCTCGGCTTCGGTGTGGCCATCAAACGGAGCGAATTATGTGTGGGGCAAGGCAAGGTTATTTATTAAATAAATATTGCATGCGCCTCATTAAACAGAAAAATGAACGCAGGCGCTAAAAAATGCCAAAAGGCTCCGCTGAACCCTCCCCAAATGCGAAATAAAATTGGATAACCGCAGAAGGAGATGGAGCAGGGGAAGGGGATGGGGCAGGACAGATGGAGTGGCATACTCGTATAGGTAAACATTCACACCTGTGTCTCTCGCCCCGGAACAACGACACGCGAACGGGCGGGAGTATAAAGTGCCTGACACTAAACGCAGCACGCACCCAATTACACACGGCGTATACGCAATTTGGTGCCAGGAACAGGAACCGCGCGTGGCAGCTCCATCTCTCATGCTTAATTCATTCATAATTTGCCATTTGGCAGGCAATAACCCGAAACCATTTCCGTTTCCGCCCAGAACGCACAGAATCTGATTACATTTGTCAAGCTGCGAGTGCTTCCTGCTCTTCCTGCTACGCATCCTGTGGGATTTCTGAGCTGCTTCCCAGGAATGTGAATGCCACAATGACCCAGCAAAGTTATTTTCGTAATTAAAATTCACTCCGTATTCCTCCTCGAACTTCTGCGTCCACGGGTTCACGACTCTGACAATTGTCCTTTCAAAAACACTTTTTTCTGTCTTAATTAATGGAATTTCAGCGGCAGCTGTGCAGTAGTTATGTTGTTTTCTGCTAAGCCAATTTTTCCTGCTAATGGAAATTAAACTACAGAGGGGGACATTTGCTGGCTCTGTGGGATCTGTAGTACTCCTACGGTAATGAGGCATCCCCCACAGAGGGCTAACCCTGACCTCGTAGAAGCGCCGGCTTATTCCTGGAATGCTCTAGTACATTCCATTCAATCAAAATGCGTCCTGCGCGGCAGTTGCCTGCAACAAATTACTTGCAATTTATTATTTTAATTAAATCGTTGACTGTCGGTGGGCTGGTGCAGTTTAACTGGAATTTCTCCTGCCATTACAGCGCTTGCACAGGTGCCGCAGGTCTGCTGCTGGCACAAGAAACAATAATCCGGGCAACAGGAGGCGGAAAGAATGCTAAACTGAGGCACAGAATGCCTGGAGAATATTAAAACGAATGAGTTATGCAGGAGACCGGAGACAGGAGACAGCAGCCAAGGAGCCAGCGAGAAAACTTGGCCCAGATGCGCCTTGGCCTTAGAGCCATAAACTCCGAGCAGAGTCGGGCCATGGCTTAAATAAATAAGCAAACAACGGAAGCACGGGGAAGCATCAACTGAACCAGTTTCCCCTCTATTTTCAATTATTTTGTCAAGAGAAATCTGAAATGTTTGTGTCAGGTTAAATTCCAAAAGCAAAAAAAAGGATTAATAAAAATACAAGAGGATGTCAGGTTGACTTTTAATGGGCAGTCAGTTCCCCAGACAGCAATAAAGTTGGTAATTAATTCCGCTTTGATCTGCCAACCGCACGGACAGACCAATTTCCAATGAAAGTCCAATCTGGCTTTGTAGCTCTTTTCATACCAGAAGCCAGGCGCAAACCAGTCCCATACTCGTATTCACAGCCGGCTCTTTGGGATTCCCACAGTCCTCGTTAACCTGCCGGGGAGTTTGACAAAGCCCATTAAAGATTCGTATGGGGTGCTTGGCGAAACTTTGCCCCATTTAGATTCACTTGGCCAGCCACATGGGTCCATCAACAGCCGCACTCGGAATTGATGGGGCAAGTGCGGAGGCACTTGCGACTGTGATAATTTGGTGGCAAATTGATACCTCCATGAGGATGTTTATTTATGAGGTCAGGCACGGGGTCACGAGCTGTATTACAACTGGTATTCCACAGTCCCACAGTTGTGGGCACTCTCAATTTATACAGTTGACATTCCTAATTTATGGCCGTGACTCTCTTTGTGTTCGGCTGCCATGTCCGCTGTTTGCCTCCGGCCACTATTTTCCGCAGTGCGTGCCATTTTTGCCACTGCTCCTCCGCCTTCGATGGCCTTGAGTAGGGCGAACAATCGATATCGGTTTTATAAAACGCGAATGTTAATCAGGTGAACGTTTTGCTGTTGATTCGGTGGCGTGCGAAATGGAAATGTTTGTCGCACGTGCCACAAATAGAGGGCGGCGGGTGGCAATACGAAATGTAGTGCATCGCTCGATATTGCCCGGGAACCATTCTTGCCTATTGACTGCAGTTCATATTTATTTCTTAGCCTCAAGGGCGGTGCCATGCCTTATACTGAACAAATTATCGGAATTTATGTGATGTCATTCTCCCAACTAGGGGCGGCACCTAATTGCAGAGCTTTGGCTGGTCGAGTTATGTGCCGACCGGACGGGACTGTGCCATTAATTACAGGCTCTTATCTGAGTTATATGTGACTTACCAACACTCTCGTTCAGATGGCACCATAATGAACAGGCTTTGCATAATTAAGCCCGGGCTGACCACAATACACCATTATTCTGGCCGAATGGCTGGGGGGAGTCGGTACATGCGTAAGGGCCAGGCCCAGGCCCAGGCCCAGGACCAGCACCAGGTCCAGGTCCAGGAACAGGGAAATTGAAAACAGCATTCATGTGTGTACGAGTTGCGATAAAAACCCACTTCTCTGAAAACATTGGCCATTCAATTGTTCATTAATTTCTATAGAAATCCATTATTCGTTTTTCAATTTCCATTAGAATTGCTTTTCCAATAATAAATTACAATGCCAGCTGTTTTGATACCCTTTTCATACTATCAAGGATAACTATGGGTAATTTATGATCTTACTCCTTTCCCTACCCACTGATTGTCGGGGAAACTCGATTATTCCATTAAGATAATCGCTTCGATTAGCCTGTCAGTTAAGGCCCTAATCTGTTAGTCGACACACGACCGATTTCCAACAGATTGATGCCTGTGTAAACTTACAGAAAATTGCGCATACGAAGCGTAGGCCTCGGACAAGGGACAATACAAAGTTTAACTACTTGATATGCAGACGAGGAGGCATTGGAAATTATGAAGATGCAAGAGATGATGACAGCTGTGGACCGTTCTGCCACAGGGGAATTCATTCAGTGGCCCTAGGCTGGTCACGTTTCACTCCAGAAAAGAACGGAAAATAAATAAACCCATTTGTTAACCATTTGACTACGTGTCGAGATCATTTGAGTGGTCTGTTTGCCGACGAACTGTTAAGTTCTGTGAGTATTTGCTTTCATTGGAGTTGGAGCTCCTAGTTTGAAATTTAATTAGTTTCAATGGCTGTGGAAAGTTTTCAATTAAATTAACACAACTTTGATGCTTTTTAGGGCTGCTCCGAATGTTTTAGTTCTCGGCAAGAAAAGCAATCAAGTGAAGTCGACTATCATTATTCATTTAAACCCTCTAACTGGAAGGAGAGGCAAATAAAAGAGTAAGCAAAGTTTTGTGTTTTAGATACAATTTAAAAGTGAAGGATACTCGTCTCTTAAATAAGTGTGGCCAGATTC